TGCAAAGATTTAGGCTTTTTTTAAATTAAGAAAATGTGAAGAGGTTGGTAAAAGGGAAAAACCCAAGATAAGATGACAAGTATTGTAATGTAAACCTATGGTTGTTTTGTTACAAAAACATTTAAATTTACTCACAATCACTAAACTAGTTTATTCTTTTACAATCTCCCCTTTTTGTAACCTTTCCATTATTTTTCTTAGTTAAAATAAAGAGCTTTTAGAACAAATCATTGAATAAAATAATGGCTTGTTCTTGGCTTCTTTCCTTATCATATTCAAAGAGCAATAAGACAAATACTTTGGTTTGGACAACAGACTGGAAACTACAGATATTGTTTGGTTAATTACATCTGCTTGCTTGAAGGCACCAGAATGCATACATTAGAACAGCTGACATCATCACATCCTTTATGTATTGGGAGAGAGAGAAAATAATGGCAGTTGGCTTTTTAAAAAAACTTCTGAATTGTTTGTTCATAATTGATAAAATAGGTTTTAATTATTAGAATCCATGTTTCCCTCTATTTGTTTAAAAATAAATACACATTTGAAAAGCTGGCATCTAAAACTTTTCCTACGGGTATTGAATTTGTTCATATACTTCTTGATATTCTAGATGCCTCCTGAAAAACCACCTAGACTTAAGGTATTTTCAGAGAGCATTCCTTCCAATAGAGTGTGAAAATTATCACGTTTAGAACAGATACTTCAGCTTTGTCCCTAGATTTTATGAAATACTTAAGGAGAATAAAGCCAATAATGGTGAGAAATTGAGTGGTTTCCTTTGGTAATACCTATCTTAAATATGAAAACATCCTAAAAGCCGAGTATTCAATATGTTTATCTCTCTTTATATTTTAAATATAAAATATTTAGTTTGTATAAACATTCTTTTGGAAATCTATACTCAGCACATAATTTATAGTAGCCAGGGATCTGAAGAGCTCTTACAGGTATGCTTCAAGTTTTAGTAGTCTAGCTTGACTTCTTTTCATTTCAATCATATTTTTTCGTATTTTAGTGAAACTATCTTGTGAACTTACTTTCAAAAGTGGCTTACAATATGGTAGTAAGGAGAGTATGATTGAAAAGGTCTGTTTAGATCCTGGACAATGAGTAATTTATAAAGCCATTCATTTTGTTGTCAGTTGTGCAGTTATAGTACTCAAAGTACTTAGAAAAAATGGTTACTTTAATTAAATAGCATTTAAGCATATTTTGAAACATTTGGAAATCCAAATAGCAATTTTATATGATAAAATTAATTTGATTTAGCAGCCACAAAACTCTACTTATGATTCAAACCAATGCTACACTAAAGAAAAATAGTCCTTTAATGCATGTGTACCTAAGTTTAAGAGGCATATTTGAGTTCTACAATGGCTTTGCAAAATTTTCAGAACTGCATCCTTCTGCAAATTAAAGCCCCAGCCACCCTCCTTGTCTGTTGTTACCCAGAAGATGGTGGGAAGGACTTTACTGTCAATATACTGTTTCTGTCTAGTAAGGCAGGACATAATTTCTGAAACAGTATCTGCCCCATTCAGAAATCAGTGGCTTCAGTTAATCGGTTTCAGCACTCTCATACTTTGCACAGAAAATAGAAAACCTCTAGTGACTTAAAATTTAAATAAAAACAGTGTTGAACAGGACTTAACATATAATGTATGTGAGAAAGTTCTTGGGAGTCAGGATGAAGAGATGGCGGCTAAGGAATAGTCAGATAAGAGACAGCATAGCCTGCAGGGCAAGAGGCTTAGGGGGTACCCTCTTTAGTTTCTTGGTCTGTAAAGGAGGTGGCAGAAGATTGTCCTTTCAGAAGACACTGCTAATATAGCTTTATAATAAAGTAGAATTAGCCTCTGGTCATGTTTCCTGTCTGGTCCACCTGGTAAAACTGACATGAAAGCTTGTACTTGAGTAGTACTGGAGCATTACTTGAGTAGAACTGTGAGCATTAAATTTGGTTCATTTAGTACTGGTATATAATAAATTTAATTCAATCCCCTTCAAAATGGAAGCCACATAACCAGCTTCACCTAATATGGCTAATTTTTAAAAATATTTGACCTTTGTTCATTATAGTGTTTTAAGAATTTCTTCTCTGCATTAGTGGGAAAATTAAATTCAGAAATAGTTGTGAAATGCCATGATTATGCAGAAAGGAAAATTGACTATCAGCAAATCTACATTTTCTCAGTCCTATTTTCAGATATTTGGTCCATTTATGCAATGACATTGTTATATGGATATTAATTCAATTATCCATCACGGGGGGGTTTTCAATTGGATAACCATTTGTCCAGGATGGTCTGAGGACTCTTGCCTTGGACAAGGTGTTGGACTAGAACAGTGGTCGCCAATTAGTGGACCGGGAACCATTGGTGGTCCACAAGAAAATTTTGATGGTCCGCAAAGAAATATCACCCCCAAAGCACCCTCCAAAGCAATTAGTCGAGGCTGCGCAGGAACACATGGCTTGCATTGCTTGCATTGCAAATAACACGAGGTAGTGAGGGGAAGGGGGAAAAATCGGAGGGGGGAACGCCCCCATGCACCTCGCCTGGCCACCGGGCTGCTTCTTTCCACTTCTTTCTTCTTCTGCTTTTGGCTGCACACAAGGAAAGCAGCAAAAGTCTTTCTTTCCCCCAAACTCCAGTCTTTGGGACCCTGCAAGACATCTTGCTCCAAGAGGCTGCACCAGCAAAGACTCATTTCTGGTGGAGTTTAGGAGGGAGAAAGAAAGACTTCTGCTGCTTTCCTTGCATGAAGCCAAAAGTCTCAGTCTCTCTCTCTCTCTCTCTCTCTCTCTCTCTCTCTCTCTCTCTTTCTCTCTCTCTCTCTCTCTCTTTCTTTCTCTCCCCCCCCCCGAGAACGGAGCTGGAGATGGTATCCTGCAATCCCAAATAAATAATGATCGATCGGTAGGAAAATGGGATGTGGAATTTTCTTGCAGACTTTTTGGGGGATTTTCCCAGGGTCTCTGGTCTGCAGGATTTAAAATTATGAGTTTGGTGATCCCTGAGGTCCAAAAGATTGGCAACCCCGGGACTAGAAGATCTCCAAGGTCCTTTCTAGATCTATGATTCTATGATTATGGAATTTATTCAAAACCGAATACATATTTGATAGGTTACTCTTAGATATAAGATGTAGGATTGTGTGGCAAGATCTCAGTACTATATATATGGAATACTGATTACAGTATTGCAACTTTTAACAGGTGTAGCTCTATCAAATACTAATACCAATACTAAAGTTATGGTTTAGTATCATAGCCATTTTTTGTTTGCCATCTGGCAGAACTGTGAGAAGATGTAACACTTTTGGTTTTGGTTTTTATTTAATTAAAAGCTTATCTTTATTTAAGAAAATAAACCAACAGATTATTTTAACCTAACTTATTTAATAACTCATCAAGATTAACTATGTAAAATAGAGCAAAAATTTCCAGTATCTGTAGCTCTATAGATCAGTCGATCATTGTTTTCCTAGTGGAAAACAATGTTCGGTTCCAAGCTGGACTACTCTGCTGAGTTTTAATGCCAGTGCATTAAACTTGCACTGGAGACCCCAGGGTTCTTCTCTTAATCATAGAGCTTGTGTCATTAACTGAACCAATCTTTTTTTTTTTTCTCAGACTCTTAAGAGTTATTATAGGACACAATAATGATGGGGAAGGATTTATATATCATTTTGAACTTCCAGAAAACGTGAAAGATGAATATGTTAAATAAAAAACCACATATGACAGGAACTATTTCTGATCAACAAGGCATCTCTGTCTCTTCTTCTTTTCTTTTTCTGTTAGAAGAAACAAAAATATGTAGTGGCTGCTAAACTAAGAAATGGTTTCCAGCACTAATAAGAATTTAAGCATTGAGAAGTCTATGAAAGGTCAAAAGCATTTTAAGCTTCAATTGATAATAGGCTTGCCTATCAGGAAATTAGGCCACTGAAATATCGTTACATTTCAAAATGTATCTAAAAAGCAAATTATTGTCCTCATTTTAGGAAAAGAAAATTACATACACATTGCTTTTCCCTAATTTCTTTTAGCCAATTTCCAGAGCATATAATCAAAATAATTGAAGGACATCTCAGAATAAAACTTATTATTACTGAAAAGAGAAATTGTTATTTTTCAACCTCTAAGCAAAAAAAAAAAAGAAAAGGCTAAGACAACACCTAAAAATTGGAGTTCTGCCTCTTCTAATCAGACAAGGCTATCTAGTTATGGGGAGAGAGGAATTGCTTCATTTAAATAATATGGAATAATTCATGTTTACTTTCTGCTGATGGAATGGGAACCTCTCCTGCAGTGTCCTGATCTTATTTAATGTGAGATATAATAGCATAACTACTACAGTGTGTATGCTGAACCGTATTAATAATAGCCAAGTATTCAAATGTGTCTTTAATCCGAAGATATTTTTCTGCCTTGAAAAGAATGAAAAACTGCTCTTCTGAAATATACTGCAGATTTTAGGCATTTGAAAAGTGAAGAACAGTACAAGGAAAAGGGAGAACTAAATCTTGACATTTAAACAAATAGCTATGCTTATTAGAAAGCACTGGATAATTTTTGTTGTGCTTTACAACAAAAACCTCTAATGTTAGGTTGGCTGAATTTCAGCAATTATGATAATTGAAAGCCACTTATGTGTTGAGATGACAGAATTTTAGAATATATATCTGTCCCAGAAGTTATTCTCAATTTTAGATTGAAAACCCTAGATAAGCATCTCTAATGTACATTAGGCTCACCATATATTAACCAAAATGATTTCCTTCTTAATTCAAGTGTAGTAATTAGTTCTTATTGCTTATTGTGGTCTTCACATTTCTCTTAGGGACATAAACCTTTGAGTAGAAATGGGCTTAAGAATTACATATGTTGCATGTTATAGTATCTTTTAAGTCTACTTAAATAAATGAAATTATTTAAAATACAAAAACCTATTATTACAAGATAGAATCTGAGACTTCATAATCTGTTGACCATTCTGATCTCTTAACAAAATGTTTTTTTTTTCTTGAACTTTTTATCAGTGCTTTCTGTGTAAGTCTTTCGAATGACCTCAGAGCAATTTGAGACTGATGTTCTTCCTTCCATGGACTGCTGAGCCTCATACTTAGAAACTTAAACATGGAACAGATTATATTCTATCTCCTTATTTAAACACTTGGACTAGAAATTAAATTTGCTATGAGCCTTATCTTGCTGACTGTACGTAAACTGGCAGAGGAACTAGAGATAGTTTTTGTTGTACAAGTGATCAATTTGAAAGGTTTGACTATGTGGGAAAATCTGGTGTTTGATATAAAAAAGATTTTTCAAATGTTATTCTGGAAGGTCCTCTCTCAGATTCTACTCTGTCAATGTAGTGATTTCAGTAAAATTATGTTGAATAACAGGTGATTAATTAATATAAGAAAATTCATAACATGGACTTAGCAAACTAATCTCTTTACATTCCCTTATGTCTATTGACAGAGCCCAATTCAGTGGTGCCAAAAAAAAAAAAAAAGATGTAGTAGAATCTGTTGAAAAAAAATTTATTTTGTGAAACAGCCTACGAAACTACAGTAATCTTAGCACATAAGACTGGAAGTTATACCCAACATGGGTTCCTCATAAATAATTTGCAGATGAGAACATGAAGAATATGAAAATTGGTGAAAGTATTTGATTTAGTGATGCTGAATTCCTTCTCATTCAAATTATAATATTCTTGGAATTTAAAAAAGGCAGCCCTCTACAATTTGTCATCCTTAAGAAAAATCTAGAGGGTTGTGGTATGGAAATTTGCTGTTTACCTGATATTTAAGTAACAAAATAAAGTCTACTTGACATTGATATAGTGATACCGTGACATTGATAATACCCAAAACAAGAGGGTATCATATTTGTATCTTGGAAGCAAAACAATATGCTCATTCCAAAAAGAGATTTTCCTACAATCTGTATTGTAAGGAAAGATATAATAAGCAAACTTATAACCAAGAAAGAAAATCAAATTCACAGTTTCTTATTTTGAAAGGGCACCAAGAAAGAGTCAACTTCTAGTTTTATAATGTATAGATTTTTTAATGTTTTTGTACACTGCACTTACTGCATTATGAACTTCCCACTGAAAATGCACTTGGAATATTGCTAGTAGAAATCATTAGAATTTTCTATTAATATTTTCAACATTTAAAAATTTGAGGGGGAAGATAAAATGATAACTGAAATAGAAGTGTGGCATATATTTCTGAAATTGATGGTGCAGGTATGACCATTATTTGCTTTTCATTTAGATGGTTTTTATTATATGATGTCTCAATAAGTTTCCCCACTAAATAGGTCCTGCAATATTAAATTATAGTACAGTACTATGCCAGGTAAAAGCTTATAAAGTTCAGTCTTTGTATTGGATCTTGGCCTGGAAGGTGATATTGAATATAATTAAGCATCACAACTTGTTCTTCCTATAGGTAGCAGAGAACATTTAATTCAGGAACTTACTTGCAGGAACCTTTGCTTTCTAAAATAATGGAAATAATTTATATGTTCAAGGACTGATTGAACAGTACTAAAATAAGTAATTATTTATTTTCCTTCTGGGACTGATGTAACTGTCATTTGAAATATCAACTATAGAAGATGAAGTAATTCAAGACGGCATCCTGTTAAGCACTACTAAATAAAAATGGCAAAATCTGTATTTCAGCTTTGGTTGTAGCATTTGGGAGAGATATGATGCTTTGGGCTGATGGTGATCAATAGCCTCATAATTTAACACCAGATTAGAATTAATTCATATAGGTTTGCATATCACCTAAAATTTTATTTAATGATTCAACATTTGGATCTTTGCCAAGGTTATATCATACCCATCTTCCCATGAATAAGTAATAGTCGGGGGGGTGGGGTGTCATTGAAAATTGTATTTAAATTGCTATTGGGTGATGTTAATATTTTGCCTATGGCTTTTGAAAACATTGAAACTCTTATTTGATGACCCTGTCAGTGTGAAAATAATATTGGGACTGGTCGTAGTCTTAAATAATACTGCATTACTGAATGTGATATCAGTAGCTGTTGATCTTGTCACTTTATAAAATGCCCGCTTTTTAGATTCGTAAAGAAAAGTAGAAAAATTCAATTAACGTAACTAGAACCAAACTGCTTTACAGGTGATATATTTTGGTAATTATATAACTGTATCATGCAGCTCATATGACTGATGTTATAGGATTAATGCATAACACTGCCCTGCACTTTCTCTTTAGATTAAAACAGTCAAATATATAGGCATGATGATATGCGATACTAGCTAAGGGGCTAAAATTTGTATTCTCAAATCTTGTATGACTATGAAAATTATAGGTGTTTTCAAGTAGTTCAGAAGGAAAAGAAAACAGATTGACATAGGAGAAAATAAATCTCTTAGCTGCTGGTACTTCCTGCAGCATCTCCTGACTTAGGTGAACTGCCCTGAAGAGAAGGGTTAGTAATAACAAAGGGTTTTGATCAATTAGTAAGCCAGTTGTTCCATATGGTAGTTAAGTAATGTTGGGCTGTATTCTGAAGAAGTGTCTTATGAGATGCAAATGTCATTAAGATGCTTAAAAAATGTTCTGTTAGAATGTACGTGTTAACATAATTGTTACTCAGTTGCCTTAACAAATCTTTGCAGCTTATACATTTCTTTTCACCTTCAAACGTACAAGCTTGCTTACAGGCAGTGGGTTCTTGTTAAGTTAGTAGGTGGAAATAGAGACCAAAGCATTGGCAGTTCTCAGTTTGTTAAAGTGGAACATAGATTCTTAATAGATATTATGCTTCAGTGCAGAGAAAATCTAGTTACCTGATGCATAGAATATGCTGTATATGGCTGAAAGACAATGGCTTATCATGTAGAGGATTTTTAGATTTTATCTACTTTTCACTAATAGTTTGGTTTAATAGAGCTTTAAATAATACAGTCCAATATATTGAGCTAAAGTAATGCCGATTATAAAACTTGCAAGTACTGGGATTTGATGCACTGGCTTTAAAGTCTGAAATTTCCATCCTTTTCACCCTGTTCAAACCTTTGCAATATTTATTCAAGGATGTTTATATAGCACAGGCATCAGAAAAATGATTTGTTTGAAAACCTTGCAGCATAGTACAATATACAATGTTATATACTGATTTAAAGAATCCAAGCATCAATATTTCTTTTCCCCCACTAACAAATGTCATTGTTGAACTTGGCATGATGGTTAGATATGTACATTTTCTTCAAAATATTATACCTTTAATTATGTGTTCATGATTTTTGAGACTTGTACTAAATAATTTCTTAATTGCATTACATTTAAACTACACAAATGTATAGCAAAGTTAAGTTTCATAAACACCAAATCTAGAATTTTTAAGATCCAAGAACTGATTATTTGCTTTTCAGAGAAATTTTGTCCTGTTTTAAATGACATTATAATATTTCTTCACAAAAAATACCAATCTGAGTTTAAAAGTTCTTACTCTTTCCACAAGTGTAATTTAATTAATTAATTATATTGCAATCAGTAGAGCCCTCTCCTTGAATATTGGATTGGTGTTTAAATTATCCAGTGTTGGAATTTACAGTGGTAATTGATAGTTCATTCTATGAGAATAATTTGGTGCCAGAAGAATAGTAATGAATATAGAAAATGGTTTTCTGGTATTAAGTAGTCAGGCTTGTTGAGGAAAAGAAAGAGGGCTTTTTGCTTTAAAAAAAAATCCTTAGTGTTCATTTCTTTATATGTCGCTTCTTGGTATGAAATGTATCCCATTAAAGTCAAGACAGATTTAACAGAAGTTGAAGGTCATGTAATATTTGGAGACCATGCTTAATGCTACTGAATGGTTGTAGCAGGTTAATATTTTGAAGTAATGAATGTGATCTTTATTCAGAAGTGGCAGTAGCTATATTCTGAATTTGCAACACATTTAGAATTCTGAATTCTTACTATGGAGTTAAAATAGTACTAAAATCCCATGCTGTAGTAGACTGGAAAATCCTTTTTCTGCACCTTTCTACTGTAGATCACAAGACAACAATCTTTTAAGGAAATTATCTTTTTGTTTTTTGGTTAGTATGTACTTCATGAAACACTGAACTGGCTGAAATGCTGGTAAAATTTAGTAATTACAATGCATCATTTGGTAAAATATTCCCCCTTAAGTCCATTAAATAGATACCCAACAATATTTTCATCCAAATTATTTTTCTAAATTATATCTGGGGGCTTGGGAGTAAAAAAATAAAAAAATACACATATAATTACATAACATGAAACAATATACATATTTTGGGCTGAGCATATTTAGATTCCAAACATCAGGAATGCAAATGTAATGCCAACACTGTTATTTAAACACTGAAAATATTGTGGGTTTATTTAAAAAAAACAACACCCTGAAATACTACTGCATCACTCAAAACAAGTTCCTTAGAAAAATCTAGGCTTTCTCAGTATTTGAGTTTTTTTTTTTAATAATGTATCAGATCCCTGCAATTTAAAATAAGTTTATCTCCTTTGTGTTCTTTGATTACCTGTAGATATTACACTTCACATTCTTTATAGGGTAACTGCTGACATTTGCACTGTCCATAGCCATTAATGATGATGAAGGGTCCTTCATGGGCAGGTTCATATTCATTATATGGTCCTTGGTCTGACATATTTGACATATGCAGCCGTGTTTGAGATCGCAGTTGCCTGTGGCTTTGAATCATTGAACACTGCCTAATTTTTCTTAATGTGGGAGGACAGCACTTCCTGGAGATGAACACTACAAAAATGATAAAAAAGAAAGAAAATAATAAAGCCATTGTTCCTGTAATTACCTGCTGGGTGAAGATGACATTGTTTGGTTCAGGCATCTGCTCTTCTGTGGTAAAGGGTATGCCTGTGGTGGTTGAAATTTCTTTATCTCCCACATGGAAATTTGAGGAGCTTATTTGCTTTGTATATTCAGTTGTTGGAGCTCTGTGAGTTGTAGCAATGGGTGTAACAACAGTTGATAAGTTCCAGCAAAGCTGAAAACCATAAACTGCATCTAGAATATCCTCTCCCTGGGTATGGTTTGGGGTATGACAAAGGATGGAGTATTCCCACCGACCTTGGAAGCCACTGAGCCATGTGGCTAGTGCACATATTTTGGGGCTGCATTCCCAGGGGTTGCTGGAGAGACCCACAGTCGTTAGGGTTTTAAGTGAATATAAAACCTTGGACTCCAGAGTGGTTAGCTTGTTGTTATCCATTAGGAGAATTTTAAGATTAGGCATTATTTCAAAAACTGTCGTATCAATGGCTTTGATATCATTTCCAGACAAATCTAGCTTTTCTAAAGTGCTCCAGGTCCATTCCATCCCACAGGTCAGGTTGCTAATTTTATTCCCCTGTAAGAAGAGCATGTGCAGATTGCTTAGCCGAAGGAAGTGAGCAAAGTTAATCTTTGTCAGTTGGTTGTGCTCTAGGTGAAGCTCCCTCAGTTTGGTTAATCCTGCAAATCCATTGCGCGCCAAACTTCGCAAGCGATTTGTGCTCAAATCCAAAAAATCCAAACTACGACAGTCTGAAAACAGGCGGACTGGAATAGTCCTCAGAGAATTGGTACGTAAACTTAGGGTTTGCAGTTTACGAAGGCCATACAACAATTCAGGATTCAAAGCAGATAATTGATTGAAAGAGAGATCCAAATGTTGCAAGTTAAGTAGCTGACTGAAAGTTGTGTTTGGTAAATGAGATATTTTGTTTGAACTTAAAATTAATTCCTTGAGTTTATATAGTCCTTGAAAAGCATCTTCTCTTACTGTATCAATTTGGTTATGGTCTAAATGAAGCCAGGTAAGTTGACTGAAGCTTGCAAACTGATCCCCTTCAAGTTCCATAATAAAATTGTGCCTCAGTGACAAACCTAGACAGCCCTTGTCAGTGGTGTTTGGCACTGAGTGAAACCCCTGAGAGTCACAGTAAAAGAGCAGCTTCTCACAACGGCATTTTGGTGGACAAGCCGTGCCCAAGGCAGGCAGCATTTTAAAAACAATACTCATTGCATATACTGCTGCCAGCATAGGAGCCCCTAATGGCCACTTGAAATGTAAGCCTGCAGAATATAATTCAGGGAAACAACAAAATAGGATATTCTTATCAGAGATACGCTTAGAACAAGAAGAGAAAGAATGTTGTAAATAATGACATGCATTAAAATGTTTTGGAGCTTTAATTCTTATTTTAAAAAAATTCTTGGTAGAGATATCTTAAGTTACTGAAATTATTGATAAGCAGTTTCCCAGTCTTAAAAAAGTACTGGTTCCTAAACATGCATTTCAAAAGCTAGATTAACTGCACATTATAAAACAAGTCAAATAATGCAAACTTACCCATTCTTTTGAGTACGTTGGAGGTTGCATTCAGTCGTAGTTTTAGACTCAACACAGTGAGTCTGTAAAAAGCTCTAACGTTGACAGCTTTTAAATCATTTACTCTCTTTACTCTTCTTTGATTTTGAAGTAAATAAAAAGGCTTCACATCCCATTTCCAATATATTCTTTTGAATTCATGACCTTGATTTCCAGTGGCAGATCTGTTAATTCCCGAATCAGTGCTGAGTTGATTGGCAGCTTTTCTTATGCTGTACAGCTGCTTAATTGCAAACGCTTTCCACAGCTATGGCTTTTTTACTCTTAACTTGTTGATGGCAGATGGGTAGCTTATCACTGAGAGAAGCTTCTGTAGTCGCTTGAATGCATTTGCTGAAAAGCTTTCAGGGCTAGGGTACAGAATGCATTTGCTTATGTGCTGCTACCACACAACTGTATGTAGGCTGACGTCATCCTGTGACGTTCCTTTTTGTTTGGGTTTTCCAGAAGCTTTTGCAGTTTAAGGCACTATAGTGCAAACTCTCAATTGTGAGATTAGACTACCACTAAGAGGAAAAAGAGTAAGAATTCTTCGGCTGATATCCAGGCGATAGGAATGATTTTTCAAGAGTCTGTCTTGTAGATTACATGCTTATTACTACAACCTTAAGCTGTACAGGTTTGGGGTTTTGTGATTTAGTATTTGTGTTGGTATTCTGTATGAAAACTGTGAAGGTGGTACATAAGAGCGCACACACACAGACAGAGACACACTCTTTGTCCTCCAAACAACTTAACAGGAAAAACTCACACATGATATAACATTTTAAAAATTAGTAGCATAAAGTTTTTTTTAAGGGAATATATTTATAAATGTATATCTTATATTAAAAAGACAAGCTTTTAAAAACTGTAAAATTGTGTGTAAAAATCAGTTGCACTGGGCTTTGATGATTCCTCATCTGGGTAGTTCAGACAGAATTTAGAAACATGTATACATACTCAATACATATGTGGACTCCATTCTAAATGACTGAGTCCCTGGAAATGTACAGGACAGTACCATCTTTAATTATTAAATATGTAGCTCTTTTACTTCTTAAATTGAACTGAAGAGTGAGCCAGAGGCAGTAGTATTTAACTGCATGCTTGGCTTTGCAGTTATCAGTTCAAATAATGTGAATAACCTAGTAAATATTTGATTTGGAAATGGTAATATAGTTTTATCCAAATTTGGCAACATTTAAACATAATTCTCAGTTAATAAGAATTAATGCTAATAGGACCTAACCTCACATTTTATATTTTGAATATTATTCTGTCACTGCTATAATTTTTTAACTCATAAAGTAACCTGTAATTTTTTAAATATTTGTATGTGTATATGTATGCGTGTATGTGTGTGTGTGTGTATACATAATATATATGTTAAAACTATGATTTTGTAAGTGTAAATAACTATGCTACTTTTTCTATGCCTATTTTTCTCAGGGAAATTGCTTCCTTTTCACCTAACACTTGTAAAATTCTTAATCACATATTTATGGCAGATAATATATGAAGAATATTCAGTTACTGTTTTTAGAATTTTGAATATGCAGTACTTTTCAGAAAAAAATTACTATTAAATCTGAATTTTTAGATTTGGCTAGTGGAGTGGAGGAAGTTATCTACAGATTTTACCAGATCTCGTTAGCCAAAAACTGTACTTGTCTATCCACAGTTAGAATGATGGAAACTGTTCAACAGTAACCAAGAAAGCACACAAAGTCCAAAGGGGCTCTGACTTGAAGTAGTGATTAGTAGTTAGCAGACTTGACAAAGTAAGAAAAAGTACCAGCTTTCTTGGAAAAAGATGAAAGCTGAAGAAGTCCTTTCCTGTTCTAGATCAAAAACAGTGGGATGTGGACTTTTATGTCTGGTTCTAAGTCATAAAGAGACTTCCAAGTGCCTTCGCTTTGCAACTTCCAAATCAGACCCAACATTCTGCTGAACTTTTTGATTGGGAAGGAAAATGTGTTCACGGAGGTGTGGTTTTGAAACTGAAGATGCCAGGCTTACAAATACCTACTGAAAGTCATGCTGTGTATAGCTATCTATCTTAAAGTACTAAACGGCCACTGTCTTAGCCGAGTCCTTTTTATTTCAGATCTCGCAACTCATATTTTTAAATTGTGCATAATAGTTTTCAAATATTTGAGATACACGTAAGGAAGAGACCCTTATTTTAGACAATGTCTGAGAAATGAAGAGATGAAAAAAAAACTATGAGCATACTCAATATTTAATGCATAAATTTTTACTATATCAGACTTAAGTATATCATCTTCTGCTGAATCCAGTCCTGGAAAGATTTTTCCCCTTCCAAAGGACCTATGCATATCACATATTTCTAGTCTGGTTTACAGATACTTGCCAGAAGCCACAATCTTAAAAAAAGATAAAAGCTAAAATTGAATTAATCCCTAGTTGTATGTCAAATAAGGCACTCCCTTTTTTTTTAAACTGATTCTCTGTGTGTGCATGCACACGCACACACAAAGTATTCCCTTTTGCATAAAGATGCAAGTGCACACACACACACACACATCTTCATTCCAGCTGAGCAGCGAAAAGAAAAGCAGGATGGAGAAAGGGGGTGAAAAAGAGATAGTCCTATTTGGAATGAAAAAAGAAAAGGTGGGCCAAATTGGAGGAGAGGGGACAAGATAATTGGGAGAAAAAAAAAACTATTGACCCTTTATTTATAAAAGATGAGTATCTCCTTCAAGCCAGAAAAGGAGGATAAGTAGTGATCACCCTTTCTGCCACACACAGCTGTAATGTGTGTGTGTGTATGACGGAGAGGGAAGGAGGGAGGGAGAGAATGAATATGGGACAGAAGCATCTGTCCTATTTAAATGGTGGCTACAGTACTATTTATGAAAGAAAAACTCATCTCCACTTTAATTAAGGGAATCATTTTAAAATAAAGATAGTAATAGAAAGTCATTTATTTTCCTCCCAGTTTTGCTGTCTTTTTATGTAATTGAATTGAACAATTTAGATTACTGAGAATATATTTGGATATAGTTGCTTCTGTGATGTGGAAATCTCTCATAACTTTTTCTTGCAATTGCCTGATGCCTTTATGATGGTTGAGTAGGCCATTTGACTGCTGTTAGTTAACTGGTCAGATCTTAGAAGAGTCAAAAGAAGGCAAAAGTAGAAATAAAATGCCAGGTATTTGCAAAGGCAACTGAAGAAAAGGAAATCTTAAAGGTGAAGTTTAAAGAGAAATATTTCAACAAAATGATAATAATAAGTAAAGAAAATAAGGTTTAATATTGCATATATTCAGATGATAAATGATTTGTAAGATAAGAACCAAGTCATTTGGCTTCTAATTTTAAACAATAGACATTAGAATTCCAAGAAACTTTGTCCAAGATCGATAGTACTGTAGTTTATCTTAGGTAAAATCGTATGTCTGACCAGAAGAATTACTATACGTTGGTAGCATATTCAAAGGGAACATGCATAAAAATAGGAGTGGTTCCTCCAATTGTATGTTCACTTGTTTATTATATTTCTGGACTACCCACCAACTACCTTAAACAATGTGCACATCATAAAAATATATATCATAGGTCAGTGTCATACAATAAAACATATGTCAATGTCATACAATAAAACATCTTACTATATAGTGATATATAAGTTTAAATCTTAGCTCAAATATATTTCCACTTATACTACTAGTCTAAACTTCCACTTATAATACCTGAATTATTCTATTCCAGCAAATAGGTGTGTAGATTTTTTGGAAGCAGATCATTGGTTTGAATCCAGCTATTGGAATTTGTCTTCATTTTATGAGATTCAATCCTTTCAAAGCACAATTTATTGTTTGTGACACATAGTCAATAATTCTTAAGCAGAAAAACATGGAGTCAGCTAGAGTATGCCTATTTCAGAAACCCTGGGTTAGAAATGCAGTAATATGTTTGGCTTAGATTAAGAACCAAGCCTACTTCTCATAGTATATCAAGGCAATCCAGCATTCAGATAGATGAGGATTAAGTTTGAATTTCTGAGAGGGATCCCGATATACAGTGTTGCACAAGGTATCATGGAAGCATAATTATATTCCTTGTTGCACACCATAGCTATAGCTTCCTTATCCCATTATCCATAGGAATTGGAGATACCGTATTTCCCTATGTATAAGCACCCCCTTTGTATAAGCCACCCCCCCAATTTTTGGACTGTGAAGTTTTGAAAAAATATTTTATTAGAGAAACAAGTTATGAAGAAAGAAAATTTACAAAGAAACAAAATTCGACGTCTAGATCTACAACTTCGGTCATGACGCCGAAAGCGGTGCAGGCGACGCTAGCAATCTACGCATCGGAACGAGAGTAGGAACGAAGCATTCAGGCCGATGCCTAGCGTATGCATTTCTATCGCGTACTCGCACTCATAATCGTATCATCACGTACAATTTTTACAAAAAAGTATAGCATACTGCTGGAAAACCAGTTTATTCCTACTTTATTATTTTATGCATTTTTCACGTATAAAAAGTGTACCTGCTTTGTATATGCCACCCCCCTACTTTTTGGGCTTGAAAATTTTGGAAAAAAGGGGTGGCTTATACATGGGGAAATACGGTACTTGTAAAGGACCAAAACAGGCCTTGATGCCAAACCTACCACGTTGTGCTTACGTTGGATGCAAGGATGTAAGGACAGAATTTGTATTGCCACATGCATGTTTTCATTTTAACATAATACGGGTAGTAGGCTAGAGTTACTTACATATTATTATTTGCATCTTCTATTTTATCTGAATGTTTTATTTCCTGGAGAACATAGTTATCCATGTCGTTTTATTTTTATCCTGCCTTTTTACTTAAAAGCTCTCAAAGATACTAATGTTTGTCATGTTTGCTTTTCAAAATATTTTAAATAAAGATAACTAGCCTTATATCCTAGCATAGGCATAGCCTGCTTGCTTAATTAGTGAAATTCAACAGATGTTTTTCTAGTACAATACTGCCACCTGTACAAAAAGGGGCCTTGTGTTTTACTGGTACTAAACATTTTTCTTGAGAAATATCATACCTTCCATTTCTCTTGACTTTTTGCACTTGTGTATGTGGACACAGAATCTTAGGTTCATGCATCTCCTTCTCTATACTGTCATAATGTAACAAAGGTTGTCATGTTATTTAGACAGATGCCAAATTTCTAAACTTGACACAAGCCACAAGGAACATAAGGAATAACATGGGCACAGAAACAGTTGCTAAATTAAGTAAAAGCAGTGATGACTCATTTACTGCAAGAGATGACCACATCTAAACAGGTGGAACTAATCAGAAAAAGATCCCTAAGGGGTATTTAATCAGACAAGATTATTAGTTTTCCTGGGAGTTAGAACAATCTGTTCATGTAATTAAGAGGTTCATCTTTATTCAGGTTTCTTTTAATTCAAATAACTTTGCATCCGGATTCATATATTATTCTAAGTTATGCTTTGTTTAACTTACACTATGATTTATTCAATAGCCCATAATGGTTAATTGTGCTGAAACTAAACAACCATGTTATGTCATAATGAAATGTATAAACCACCTTATCAGGCGCAAATAATTTGTGGGTAGTCTCAAGCAGAGGTTTTATTATAAGTCACCTATGGTACAAGAATCTCTCCAGTCTTGATTGCATTTTCTCTTGGGATCAGTCAAAAGGCTTCAGGGATTTGGCGGGAAGTAAAACCTACACTGCTTTTTGCAGTGCAAGAATTCTAAGCTCAGCCTCCTCTTAACATCTTCCTCAATGTAACCGGAGATTCCACTACACCTAGCAAGTCTAGAAATCTAGAGAAACTGTGCAATTCTAAGAATACTTAACAAAAAGTGTTGAAAATAATTATATATACTTTGTTCCATTACATATACA